CCCCAAAACCCCAAAACCCCAAATAAAATTTAATTTTTTGCGGCATTTGATAATGAATTATTTTCAAAAATGCCTAAGAATATTTGATAAATTGAACTCCAATATTAATTATTGCTGCTTTAACTCATGGTAGATAAGAAACATCTATATCTTCTACTTTTCGATACTTGATGTATAACCTCCAAGCCTCTTTTATTCCCTTCTCATAATTTTTAGTCCATTTTTCACTGTCAAAAAGGGATTCCTCATCTCTATCAGATTCTAATCTCTATCTTAGTTGCTTTAACTAGAAGGAACCGTTTCTTTTAAAAGCCAAATAAGAGTCTTATAGACTTTTTAAATCATCATAGCTTCCAGCATACCCAGTTGCTAATTCAACAGCTTTATCAATATATTCTTAGATGCTATGTGCAATCAATTCATCTTTAAATCCCAAGCCATAATAAAAACTTGCTCCAACTCTATTTCCCCAGTCTAAACCCTAATAAGTCAATACTGGCAATCCAGACCAAAGGCAATCTGCATTAACCATACGAGCATTCAAATTTATTGTATCAAGAGCAAGATCAGCTACATGCAAACGATTTACATTTGTTTTTACGTCGTCTTAGATTTATGTGATAAAGTAAACTTCCTGCAAAGATACATTATAAAAATTCGCTTTTTCTATAATAGCTTATTAAGACTCCTTAGAATAGTAATTAAAGAGAAGAATGCTATCTGGTACCTAATTCTTAATCTCGAACCAGGTATTTAATGATAAATTATCAATCTAAAAAAGTTAGCTAAAAACAGCAAAGATAAATTTGTCTTTTGGCAGTCCAAGACTTTATCTGCTGGGTCTTTAGCTATTAGACCAGAGGACTTCTCTAATTTAGTACTTGTGCTAAATCTCAAAGTAACTGTCTGGCATAAATATAATCTTCTCCTTTATCATTTTCCTATTATCTTTATTAACAATAATCTTGTCTGCTATCACATATTGTATAAAATTTGAAACACTTGAATGAGGGTATATTAACAACCCTATCTATAATGGGGCTGGCTTAAATGCAAAAATAGCCATTCTATTATTGTAACTTTATCCTTTAAGGTTAATGAGTATATCGATCTCAATATTATTAATATAAGTAGCAGCTTCATAATCGTTCAAGCTATAAAGTTCATGATAAGTTCCGAATTATTTTATGTGCTGAATTTATTCTGAGTTTAGATATCCTCTGTTCAAGTGGAAAAAGTGTAGTTCAAATGAGTTTTTATCATGAAATATTATAATAGGAGTAAGTTGATCATGAATAGCATTTTTCCCAAAATCAGGAGTTGCGTAACCAATTTTTATTTTCCTGTTATAGATTCTTTTGTCTTTAAGTTGATTGTAAACAAATTTAGTAAAGCCAAAAAACTCATTAGCCCATCTCATAGAATCAATTTAAACTTAATTTGCATAATTTTAATGAGCAATATATCTAATTTCAGCTGGTATATCCAAGAACAAGCTAAGCCAGCTTGCATACTCTGGAAGTTAAAAACTCTTAGAAACATTATTATAAATAATCAGTTTTTGCAAATTGTAATTTAACTTAGTAGTATAGTTGTAATTAAGAGATTCTATAGCTTTTATCATAAGTTCTGTTTAGTAAGAGGATTAGAGTGACTCAATGTCAGTTGCATTTAAGACATGGTCATAAGATAAAATGAAATCATTGCATTCGTGAGCTAGTTAACTCAATTTCATACTTAATTTTCTTGGATCAGATAATTATCGATCTAAAGCTATAGAATAATGATAGTCAGCTTGTTTGCAGTTTCTATATTAATAGAACAAAGAGCCCATTGTTAAATGAGCGATTTCATTTCTCTTATCATATTTGAATATTTTTTCTGCCCAATCAATACTCTACTTGTAAAGGCCTTTGTAGAAACTAATCTCAGTAAGATAACTTAAAATATTAATGTTGTGAGGACTTTGTAAATGTAAATCATTAAGATATAAAAGCATTATTAAATAGTTCTTCTCATTCTCATAAATTTTTTCAATCTTTTTTATAGTTTTGTTATAAAATTCATGTTATTCTAGGCTGTTGTCGCATATTTTGAAAAGTGCTACTCTAGATTCCTAAAGACACTTATCGATAGGATAATCAATGTAAATATTTGCATTAGCAAAAGCTATTAAAATAAGAAACACGATCATTTTTAGTATTTCTTTAATAATATATATAAATCAATTTTTTCTATACTTTTTCTCAAGGGGTTTTGGGGTTTTGGGGTTTTGGGG